TCTTTCTCTTTCTCTTTCTCTTTCTCTTTCTCTTTCTCTTTCTCTTTCTCTTTCTCTTTCTCTTTCTCTTTCTCTTTCTCTTTCTAAAACTAAAAACAAATCCGATCCCAACTCGTAGTATGTTATTTTATTTGACTCATCGTAAAAGTTGAATTCGTATAAAAATAACATATAGATAAAGTATAGCCATAACTATCTTAGTCCCTTACAATTAATCGTGTTGAGTTACGAAGCACCTAGGGATTACCTTGAACTTTTCGTTGCATTTAACGCTTACGAAGTCTAGGAAAATGTTCGCTCCTGTAACATCAACTTCTTCTGTTTGAGTCATCTCGTCCTAACTTAGGATTACAAAGTTTCCGTTTATATTCTTACGATAAATACCATCAAGCCCTCAAGAGAAATAACCTTATATTAAAATTTGAACATTTTATCTCGAGAATAATGTAATTTACATACTTTCAAAAAACGTATATTTATATTAGAGATAATGTTATCATTTTAATTAATTTACTTTATATAAACTACACGTGTATGGAAATATCATACACGTATTATATTTTATCTCGTGTTACATTTAAATATGGTATACGTATCCTACCTATCCTTAACAAAGTGGATGACACGAAACTTTGTAATCTCAAAGCAACACGCATGTACACTAACAATAAAACAAATCCTAAACTACATAAGTAATCTCGTAATATTATCAAAATTTTCTACACTAATTCAACGAGATAATGATGTTATGTTATAATTGATACGAATATGTATATGGATATAAATAATTGAATAACAAACTTCTTATTCTCGTTCTAATAAAAAAAAAATTCATGGAAGATATGACATCAGCGATATCGATTAACATAAAATTGTATAGTCTGCGAAGGTTTTTTTTTAACAATGGGACTATATTATTCATTCGTCGAGAGAGAAGAAAGAGTAAAATTCGAAACGTTATCGCAAGAAAGCATCTCCATTATCACGACAACTCATTTCCCCTTCATTCCTCATTGTATTAAGATATACGAGTATATTTCAGTAGGAGTGCATTAAAGCGCGATCCGTACAAGTTTCGTATCTTGCATTTGCATTTAGGGTGGAAAAACGAACGTTGACATATTCGTAGGTATCTAGTTTCATGTGCTCAAGAATGTCGGCGGGTCTCTTGTTTCAGGCTCTGGTGTACCGAGACGGAAACCTAGTTTCTGGATCCTTGGAAGCTTTAGTACAGCACATGGTACCAACTGAGGAATATTATCCCGATCGTGCTTACCTTTTCGCCTTTTTGCTAAGCGCGAGACTCTTCATCAAACCGCACGAGCTACTGGGTGAGGTTTGCGCCCTTTGCGAGCATCAGCAAAATCTCAATGGAGAAGGTGGAAAGGTGAGTTCGTCTCTTTCTCTTCTTTTATATTCTTTCTTTTCTTTCCCTTAGATATGCCTCTTTACCCTACCATCAAGAGCATGACTGCTAACGTGCGTTATCGTCTCGTTGCATCTCACCTCGACCTCTCTCTTGCTTTCCTCTCATCATCGTTCATCCAACCTCACTCGTACTTTATTCGAAGATAACGAGTTTTTGCTGCTTTGCGAGTCAATTTCTAGGTCGAAATTGTCCCATCAAAGTAGACAAAGGACTACACGGTTATATGAATCATTTTACATGATATAGGATGCAGTTGTTACTTTTATTTGAATGAAATAATTTTCATATGGACACATAAAAACTCTTTTGCCTTTGAATATATAAATCTACTCTATAGAAACATTTTAATAATTTAGAATATAATAAAAATTTTATTAAAAATAGATGTCTAATGAAAAATGAAGTAAAGCACGGACTAACGTAGTTGCATCTTTTGAAAAATTCTCTCAAAGAATAAAACTAAAGGACATAAAAGAACGCATAACTAGAGCATACTATTAATTGTCATAACGTTAGGAATAGTAGTGGTAAGAGAAAATGCAAATTAATCAAAGTAACATACGGATTTTGCAGGAACGACTACATCGTTTCGTGCCCCGACTGGTGCAGCTGTTGGCAGAATGGACGGAGACTTTCCCGTACGATTTTCGGGACGAGAGGGTGATGGGTCACGTCAAATCCATCACGCAGAAGGTTGCTGCGGTCGACGCGGCGGCGCGACAGGAAGTTTCAGCCTTGCTACAGAACTTACTTCTCAGGCTCACAGCCCTTGAGAGGTACGAGGAGGGCCTAGCTAGATTGGCCACTGAGGCGGCGACTGAACAGCTCACGCAGGTTCGTAACTTTGAAACGATGAAGCGTCATCCTCTAACAAACCGACCGACCTACCAACCACGATGGATTTCCGAATTTTAACAGCACGAATTCCCTTGTGTCGTCTAACATGTAACTTGCTAATTGAAGCGAACTCACGACTCGTGTGGTAAACTCTCTTACTTCTCTCTCTATCTCTCCCTATATCTCTCTATCTCTCTCTGTCTCTCATCTATAACGTCGGATGAGTAACGAGAAGTGAAGGAACACCAGATTCGGCTATCTAGTCTTTACCAAGGGATTTACGAGTCGTTGTAGGGAAAGTAGAAAATTTCCGGTCCGGAATTCGTCGATCGAGCTCAACGTCGCGGCTTACGAAGATAAATTGAGAACATCGAGAGATTCGCTGTTACCGAACCGATCCCTGTTAATATTCCATAGGCAATTTTGCTAATCCACCATTCGCTCTTCTATTCCTATCACGTGCATGGATTTTATAGTCATATAATACTAGCTTCGCTATCGTGTTTATAAGCACTCATCCCATGTTCATCGACTATCCTTACACTCTTCTCTTTCTCCCTCTCTCTTTCTCTTTCTCTCTTTCTCTCTTTATCTCTTTCTCTCTTTCTCTCTTGCATATACGAATTCTCTTGGTTACTATCGTGTAGGTGCGTGCACTTTGCGCAGTTAGGGTAACAACGTTATTCCGCTAGTTTCCCTAGCACGAGAGACAGTAACTATTCCGTTAATTTGATTACCGTACACCTATCTGCCACCGCGTGTAACACCTGCTAATGGCTAATTTGCAACTGCATTAGTTAGTTAAATATGCCGACGCACGGGTCAAGCTCGCATCCTCACCGCTCAGACCCTAATCAGGAGGAAATTGCGTGAGCACCGGTATTACAGGATACTGATACCCATGGCTCTAACGTCCAGAGAAATTGCCAATATATAACTTATGTCCTTAAACGTTTCCCCAAAGTTCATTAACAGCTCTAACAGTTACGTGAGAGAATTTTCGACGTTAGCTAACTCAAGTCTGATTACAGGGGTAATACGCTCGTAACTCATGGAAAACTACCACGTACGATTTCACTTTGTTGCTACAACCGTAAATCTCTCTTTCTTTCTTTCTCTCTCTTCTTTTGGAAAGAGTAGGAAATTGGTTAACAAACGTATCCCAAAAGCCAATAACGCCACAAAATTCTTTCAAGTAGAAGCATAAAAAAAAGAACTCCAATGAAATCTTTTTGCAAGACTGTAGACACGAGAGAAAGAGACTTGCAACGTGGAGGTTTTAAAAAATTTATTGAATCTTTTTAACGTTCCTTGAAGTCTATAGAAATGGACATAAAAAGAAAAAGAAATAAATCTATCTAATTTTCTTGCTGTAAGAATTTCTGTTTTAAGTATCTTAAATGTAAGAGAGAGAGAGAGAGAGACGTTAACGAAATATGTCTTTATTAATAAATCGTATTTATGGAAAATATAAGTTATGATTTTACGAATGTTTGCCTTATGAAAGAAACGAATGAATTCAAAACGACGCGAACTAGTTTTATTACAATTTTTTTTTCTTTTTTTAGTCGTACGAGGCAGATTTCTCGTTTACAAGCGAGCTCGACGAAAAAAATCATGTCATTTTCATATAGCAAAGGTAGTTTCGAAAAATATGACGAACATCGAGTTTAATAATCTGAAGCCCTTGCAAAAGAAGTCACTATCTCTTTCTCTCTCTCTCTCTCTCTCTCTCTCTCTCTCTCTCTCTCTCTCTCTCTCTCTCTCTCTTTATCTTTTTCGACGAGTCTACTCCTTTTATTTCTTTTCCTTATTTTTCTTTTTTTTATTTTTATTTCTTCGTTTGCTCCTCTTCGTCGAAGCTTTTCTCCTCTTTCTTTTCTAGTAGTTCTCTCGTTCGACGGAGTAAGAGGGGGTGGAAGGGCTGCTGAGGGTTAGTACTAAGTAAGCGATTGAATGCACATACATACATACGAGCGAAACTAAGGAAAAACCGCAGCAAAGGAAAGTTCGCCTCGGCCGCTTTCTATGGATTAAATCTGTTGACGTAGCGACACGAGAAACGTTTTAAAGATGATTCGCCTGTTTTAAAACAGAGAGAGAGAGAGAGTACCATACCATCTTTTCGAAAAAGGTTACGAGTAGTTTCATTAACTTTAACGTCCTCTATTCGTTAAAAGATTGGGCTAGTTAAACGATGTTTTTTATGTTAACAAACAGAGACTCCCTTTTAAAAACAAATTGCAAAAGAACAGAGTTGATATAAAAATACATCAGTACAATGTAATTGAGAGAGAGAGAGAGAGAGAGAGAGAGAGAGAGAGAGAAACTACTTTTCCTGTATTTTTTCTTTTCCGTAATATTTTTCCCAAAAATTATTCTCTGTTAAAAAAAAAGTTAAAACGCTTCCTGAATATTCTCGAAATAATTTTGATCCCATTAATGTATCATATTACGACACGAATAACAGACTCCCTTAACAGATGAAGGGAATGGCGTGGGGAGTGAAAAAAACGCATTGGAACGTGGCAAATGATTTTCTTGTCCGGATGAATCCCATCAGCGGGTTAGCAATTCTTCGCTAATCGTTAGCAGCAAGAAACTTCTACGAATTCTGTTCGGGGTGTTGCAAACGTACAGAACGAGCGCAACTTATAGGTGTGTTTCACAACGCGTTCTCCTCCTCTCCCCCTTAGCCAGTAGAATCGCAGGTTGCATAACGTCGTAATACACTTCTTTGGTCACCATTGGATTATCTCGCGTTGGAAACTTGCGCAGTTTCCAAGTTCGTATTTGGAAAGAGGTTGGTAGACTCCCCTCATACTCTATGCCGATTAAATTTCGTTAACGATTTTAGAGAGAACGGACTCAGTGAATTTCTCTTCTAACATAGAATTTACCGGTACAACACTTTTAATCGTTCGCTATCGAACAAAGTTAAATTAAAATTTGGCTTCCTTTCACGAATTCTCGTGCTATAATATACACGTATATTATTATGCTGTGATCGTTTGTAATCAGATATACATGATAAAATAAAAATAATAAAAATATCTATCGTTAGATGCAAATTTTCTCAAAAAAATTTTTACCTTTCAAAAAAGTGATTACCAATTTGTATACGAATTACGTTTGAAAATAACAAACGTTCAAGTGATTAACGATTACCTACGATTGTGTTCTTCGATTATCTTACGTTTTCACAAGTTTCCCGTTAAAATACGTAAACGTGAAAATGATCGCGGATCAGTCACACGGACATTTCTCTCTTTGATTTAACACAATGCAAGGATTTAATGTATTTTGACACATAATCATTCGACCGAATAAAAGAGACCTCAAGGTTCCATTTGCTTCTAAACCGATCATACAGTTCAACGATCTCATTCGTCCTCACTTTAGACATTCTGCTTTATCCAAAGAAAGTACTATGTCTATACACACATACACGTACGTTTTGTTAGAAACCCCACTGTCGACACTTCTACCCTGTTACCGTTTCTATTTCCATAAGGTAGATTTCTGTAATATCATTCGGTTCGCTAATTTTAGTATCAATCAAATTATTTTTATTTTGAAGAATAATAAAACATGAGATTTTTACCTTTTAAAAATGATAATTTAAGAAATTATGTCAAATTTACCATCGACCTGTTCTATTTTTATCTTCCGAAAATACTTCTCTCTCTCTCTCTCTCTCTCTTTCTGATTTATTTCAAACTTTCTCTCTAAAAATATAACGAAACGAGTTTGACGTGTTCCACGAAACTCGTACTATTTTCGGTACATACCTGAACTTTTATTCCCGAACGAGTAACATTTTCAATTGGTGATAAATCAAAAATAAGAAATCGATTGAATGTATCACAATTTGCATTGATAAGGTTATTTCTATTTTTTCTGTCTAATACGATTATATAGTTCCAATTATTCTACAAATAAATAAATGGCCAATTTAAAAAAAAAAAGAAAAAGAAGCTACAAATTATACACAAATTTAACGTAATCGTCAAACTGTAACCGTGTATCATTATTGGTACACATGGCCTGATTACAATGTTTACTGGTAAACAATTTGATACGAAATGCCTTCAAGTGTTTCGATATTTTCGTTACGTATATCCTACATATACATATATTTAAGTCGCGTAACATGAAAAAGAGAAATAAAATAGAAACAAGCACAAAAGAAAAAGAAAATAGTAAAAAAAAAAGTGAAAGAAAAGGTCATATGCAATTCCAATATTCTTTGTTCTCGTATGCAACTTCCTTTTGAAGATTCCGTGTAGCCGTCAATATTAAAAGGATAGGACGACCTTTTTTTACCGGTTCAAGTGACAGAAAAGAGCTTTGGGGGTGATCTAACTTAAAACGCACTTTGACGTCCGATAAACCAAACAATTCAACGTTCTTTTCTCCATCTAAATCTAACCTCCTCCTTCTATTTCTATATTTATTTATTACTTTATTTTTATTTCGAATTACGAGAAAAATTATAAAAATTTTTCTTGCAAATTTCACGATATCTTCTTTCATTTCGTCAAACGAGCCGTAGTAAATCTATAAGCTTCTTAAAACAGATTAAAATATTAACAAAAAACGACAGATAGAAAAAAAGAAAAAAGCATCCCTTTTTTCATGAACCAATTAAATGTACCAATAAGACAATTAAGAACGATTAAAACGTTGGCATTATCGACGTTCTCTCACACTTTTTCTCTCTTTCCTCGTCTTTCGATGTTATATAATATGAATTATATAGATGAATAATTAAAAATACTACGTCGAGTAATTAACCATACTTAATGTATAAATTCGTTACTAATTACCATTTTTCTGCTTGATAAAACAGCCTCGTTGCTTTCGATTATTGCTTAACAAGTTGATTGCTTAACAAGTAGATTACTTAAACGATTGCTTCTTACTCTAACAAAGACATACTTTGTTTTTTCTATTTGTGTATGTCGTTTCATTTTTTCAGTCGTCAAGTTTGGTTGTCCAACTTGAAGAAAATGTAGGTCAGGCTTTCGTCATTTCTCAACTCTCTTGTTGCCTCTCTTTTCGTCACATGTCATTTCTTTTCTCGCATAGCCGGAAAAAATAGGTTAATAGCGACGATATTTCACGAACATGCTCGACATCGTTACTCTCATCAACGCAAAGAACCACGCAAGGATGTTGCTGCTTCTGCTTCTGCTACTGTTGCTACTCTTGATGATAATCTCAATGTGTGTATGTGTTGTTGATGGAGAAACGAGCAAGGGATATTTCTATCATTCGGTCAACCACGAAGAAGAAGGAAGCAAAGCAAAATGATAAAGTACTAAGAACTAATCCGGTTTTACTTTTCCAAACTACGATACAATCAACAAATCATTCTCATTCAGGAAGGAAATAAATAATAGGGAGTATAAAGACTATAAATAGAAATGGTAGTATAAATAATAAATTAGGATACGTGGAGGAAATATGATGGTAGTGGTCAAACCAACCGTCCGACCTATCCTCCTTATGATTTTCTTCATTTCCTTCCTTCTCGTTTGCCAAAACACGTCGAGTCTCCTTTTTGTCACTCGAGATATATGATCATTCATGAAATTACGATTGTATTGTGTCACATATATATGTATAAAGAAAGAAATAGAATGAGAGAGAAAATATAAAGGATATTATTGCAGTTAGAACGATAACGATAAAAAGTCCGATTGCTCTTATGTAACATTTGAAGAAAGTGGGACAACGAGTTTAATGATTACAGTATTGTTGGAGACCTTGTAATTTGGATTTTTTACCTGGATAAATAATGGACCATCCTTTTTATCTCTTTCTATCACATAAATATATTTATTGAAATGCTTTTTTGATGTATCGAACAATATACAAGATATCTAAAGTTTTTCTTGATGGTGAAAATACAATAAAAAAATGTTATATTTTTTGTGCATAAAATACGCTGAAACAGTTTAACCGGAAATCATTTTCAGATACCTTGTATAATATGTTGAAAGAGATACTAAAATATGAAATATGAAAAAGAGACTGTATGGTAGCTCGCTTGATGACTAATTTGAAAAACAAACGTACTTTTGAAATCATATATTCTATTTTACTAGCTTTCCTACCCCAACTGAATAAATAATAAAACTAAGCAAATCATCAATAGAGAGAGTTGCGAATAACATAAAGTTTGCAGGAATAATAGAATACACTACAAAACTCTCTCTCCCTCTTTCTCTCTCTCATCGATACAAATACGATTGAACTAACGTCGCACGTGAAATGTTCGATCGTTCTAACTAAAGTCAACAAAAGCGTAATATTTTGATATCGCAAACAACACAAACGATCGGTTCCTCAATCCATTCCGTAGAAAAATGAAAGAAATAGAAAAAGAAATGATAACGCGCATTCGATTGTTACGGAAAGGGATGGTGGTATGAAAATAGAAAAAAAAAGTCTATGAGAAATGACAGAAGTTTGTTCCTATCTCGAAAGCCGAGAGTGCTTAAAGTAGAGAGAAAGAAAGATAGAGAGAGAGAAAAAAAAAGAAAGAAAAGTGGAAAGAGAGAGAAAGAGAGAGAGACATTGGAAAGAATTGTTCAGAACGGTGGAAACGGTCAACGAAGGAGAGAGTTGGTCAGATGAGTTTCAGGGAACCACAGGGAGGATATAAATTTTAGCAAGGTCGATTCGACCAATGGCGAGGTAGGAGGAGTGAGAAAAAGAGAAAGGAAGAGATGTCTCGAGTACCAAGCTTCCAATCTCGTGAAAATATACGAGTGGAACTATCTGTCGGCGTTTCTCTCTTTCGTTCCCAAGAAACCATAGGCGAAGTGTCGGTGTAGCTTTGAAAAACGAACAAATCGGAAAAATCTTTATTAAAGAGGAACTATCTTCTCTCTCTTTCTCTCCCTTTCTGAAAAAAGTAAAAGAAATATTTTCTATTTACACGTTTTCCAAACGTTATCGTATACCTTTCGGCCAAAAAGGAGTTACCGGTACACAACACGCCCACATCGAATTACGAGATTGTAATATAAAAGTTTGGTAAAATCGGTGCTACGTTAGTTTCCAACACCACGTTCGACTATCAACAGAAAGCTTTTTCGAAACCCCTGCGATAGTCCGAGATAAGAAGTTGGTCTTGGCTCTGGGTGTTGAAACTCGACAAAGCGCGAGACGCGAAATTGAAAGAGAAGAGACACGGGCCGACGAACTTCGCGACAATACTCTCATCTTTTTCTTCTTCTTTTTCTTCTTCAAGAGAACGCCAATCCAGGCCACTACCCGCTACTTCTCTCTTTTTCTTTTTTAAATTTATTTTCTTTTTCTTATATCTCCTAGATGTCAAGCCTGTTATCCCCTTGTTGTTTTTTTTCTTTCATTTTTTTTTTTTTTGATATTTCTACTATTCTTTTCACATTGTAAACGAAAAAGAAGAATCTTCCATTTTCATTCTCACAAAGCTTTTCTGTCACTTGGTCTTTCAGGTGGACATTACCGAGCTCTGTCCTTCTGCCACGGTACTGGCACAACAATTGACTCACGTGGAACTCGAGAGGCTCTCTTACATCGGCCCCGAGGAATTTGTCCAAGCATTCGCTAAGGTAACATTCATGATACATGAATTTCTATTCTTTTCATTCCAAATAAAGACCCTCTCTCTCTCTCTCTCTCTCTCTCTCTCTCTCTCTCTCTCTCTCTATCTATCTATCTATCTTTGTAAAAAAGAAAAATAATTAAGACTAAATAAATAAAGAAATGAAATACCAAGCTAATTGAGATACACATACGATTCTATTTTATATTTTTCTTTTCTTTCCAGGAATCACCACATTTGGAAACATCTTTCAAGGACATGAAAAAGACTCGTAATCTGGAGTCTTACGTTCAGTGGTTCAATCGATTAAGTTATTTCGTAGCAACTGAAGTGTGTAAGGTAATAAATCCATACGCTATCGACTTACGATCACCGATTTCGAATACATACAAGTATAATCGATATTAACGTTCATATTGTTCTATCCATATTTTTTTTGTCCTAGCACGCAAAAAAGAAACAACGAGTGCGCGTCGTAGAATATTGGATAGAAACTGCTCGGGAATGCTTTAATATTGGCAACTTCAACTCACTGATGGCGATCATTGCCGGTTTGAATATGTCTCCAATATCGCGGCTGAAAAAGACGGTAAGTATAGATCCTTGAAAAATCAATCGGTTATTCGTATTGAGATAGAGTTTCGAAAAGGATTGAAGAAAATTTAGAAAAGGGTTGTAGGAAAAAAATAATCAAAAAGGTAGGATAATCATCTGGACCTAATGTGTCACATCGATATTGTAATTGCTGAAACGGAAATCGTTCCTCGTTATACTCGTTTACACGCAATGTAGTAGCATCAAGAGAAACTCGTGCCTGCGTTAAAGAGAAATGGAAACGTATAGGAAGCAGAGGGAGGAAGGGTTGGTTGGTTGGGAGGGTTTGAGAGACGAAGGGGTTACCGGAAGCAATAAGCGGCCTGTAATCCTCGTAAATCGAGCGTGGCGCCGCGACGCCGTTGCCGCGACGCCGTTTCCCACGTTACTGCTGACAAACCGACGAGAATCGAATTTCCGCATCGTTTCTCTCTGTTCGGAATGGACGACCGGATGAACGAACAGCATAAGCTTGAAAAAGAAAGAAAATAACAACGCTTGTAAAAAGAAGTTAGGAAAAAGGAAAAGAGAGAAAAGTAAAAAAAAAAGGTCCGACCAAAGTAGGAATTTTATAAGAGAGAGAGAGAGAAAGAGAGAAAGAGAGAGAGAGAGAGAGAGTGAGAATGAGTTCTTCAAATTTAATTTAATTGAATTTTCTTCACGACGGTTTCTGTCGAACATTGAAAAAAGTGAAGAATATTATGGACAACTTGAACGAATATATATGTATATAGACTGGTCGCAAAAAGAGGTAGAAAAAAAAAGATTGTGAGTGAGGTGTAGTAATGCTAAGAGAAATGTAGGTCGTAATCTGAATTAATCAAAAAGTTTAATATCGACCTAGGTTTGACCATCGTGCGTCATCATCACTCTCTTTCTCTCTCTTTCTCTCTCTCTCTCTCTCTCTCTCTCTCTCTCTCTCTCTTATTCGCTTTCCTTTTATACTTTTCACAAACTAATTATCTTTAATCATTGAATTTAACATACGTATGAGTTTTAAAAGGAAATATTTTCAAATCCTAATATAATACTAATCATGTTAAATTAAATTAAATCTACGTAATGAAGGAAATAAAAATAGGATTAGTCGTATTCGCAAAAGTTGATATCAATAAAAATATGAAATTTTCTTGACAGTAAAAGACTTTTGAATATGGGATGTTATATTCATGACATTCCAAGTTGCGATTGTGACATACGTAAAATGACCGACTTGTCAGCAAAGGCTATCCCTTCGTGCGATGGTTGAAAAGAACGAAAATGACATTCTGATTGCTATGTCTGACTATACGCTTCTGTTGCTTCTTTAATATCGCCTTCGCTATTCCTCTCTCTTTCGTACAATGATTTCCTTTTTCCTTTCTTTCTTTTTTTTTTCTTATTTCTTTCTTTCTTTCTTTCTTTCCTCTTCGCTTATATGCTTTTCCGAACATTCTCACGAGAGTAATAGGAACGAAAAGTAAGCACGTACCACTATCGTAAGCTTCTTTGACGAATTGAAAAATCTCATTTAATAAAAACGATTTCAAAGAGTTTTCTACGTGATTAATCGAGATATTGAAAAATAGATGAAGTATATATAAAAAATATTTTCGAAAAAAAACCTGGTACAACCGGCTGATTATGCGTGTGTAGGAATAATTTTTTAAAAATGTAATAACATTATTTAAAGAAAATCGCATTTGAAAATTATTTATTGATATTATCCTCTCTTACTACTCTAAATTTATAATAATCATGAAAATAACTACATACATTGAATTTATTTTTCTCTGCTGTATCCTCTTGTTTACAATATTCGGCTACTGCCGTTGCATTATCGTCACAGCTTAATCGATAAAGATAGAATATATGTTGGAAAAACAAAGTCATTCGACTGAAAGTCAAACGTAAACATTACACAAAGCAATGAAAACGAAAGCTTATGCGAAAGAAAATGTTTTTAACTAATTAGTTATTAAAAAGATATTTGTATCATATTTCACAGAATTTTTCAACACAAATTTGTTCGTAAACAGAAATGTCCAGTGAATAAATGTGTTACTCTTTTTATTCAAAAATCTTTATTAAATAGCAGTATATTAGAAACAATTGTCGTTCGCGATTAAAACTTGCTTTTATTTAAACTTAAATAAATGTTTGATCTATCATAGTTCCAAATTTTTTGACGATATCATCCACGATACAAAAAATCGAGAAAAAAATTTTGCACATAGGAGAAAAAAGAAAGAAAAGACATTTTCCAAGAACAAAATGGAATCGTATCGATTGTTCTCGTTCGGTAGTTTCTGTCACGTTAGCCAAACTGGTATAGATCTTCCATTCTCCTATGATTCTCATTCGTCGAAAGAGGATGGTCAAGCGCTATTCGAGGTTCATTTGGTCTCTCGCTGACTGATTTATATAGGGTGGTACGCAGGAAATAATTGCAGCCTTCTCTCATCCCTTCTTCCCCGAACCAATAACCGTGCGAAGTATGAGAGACCAGCTTCGTAATTTTCGTTAATGAAAATTTATCGCTCATATTTGTTGACCACTCGGCTTCGTTTCGCACAGAATACCAAAGAATCGATGAAAATAATTGACGCGCGCGCGAACGTATTTCCGGCTCGCGTTCAAGCTGACTCCCATGGATTTTTCGCGATATTGTAGATTTTTTATTCTTTTTTTTCCTTTTTTTTTGTCTCTTTCTTTTCCTACACCACTACCATCACCAACACCCCCCACCCCATTCCTTCCCCTCCTTTTTTAGTTCATTTTTAGAAATGCGAGAGAATTTATAACGTGCATCGTTTAACCGTGCAATTAGCGCGATTTTCATTACGACGCGAAATATCGCCGTGTGAATTCTCGTTTATTCTTTCTTTTTCCTTTTTATTTCTTTTTATTTTTTTTATTTTTTGTTTATCCTTTTTTTCCTTTTCGTATTTTTCCCCTTTTTTTTTGTTATAAAGTAAAATCGTATGTATGAACACCACACCGAAGCGCTCTATTTTAACAAAAATGCGATGAGATATAGTCGAAATTTTAATCGCTCGAATAATTATACCGAAATATTATAAGAAAAATCATTTGTAGGTTGAATTTTTACGAGATAAGTATCCATGTATGAGCATGAATAATAAGTATGTATCTATGAGGCATATAAATGTGCATATATAAAACGTATATACACATAGGTAAATGTAACAAAAATCGAAACCTCTCGTTCGTTTCATATAATATTCCTTTTGCGTCTGGTGTTGTTGCGTCGATAGATCAACGGAAAGTTTCGACCTTTACGAGAGGAAAGAAAACGGCTACTAAAGATAGTACTCAAAGATAATTCATTTACTACACGAGGATGATTTGAAAACGACATCTTCTTTTACATCTTTCTTTCATCTTTTTTTTCTTTTTTTTCGTTACTTTTTCTTTTTTCAAATGTTAAAACGAACGATACTCAGATCTTTATCATCAAAGAACGTAATTACTTACGACTGCGACGATTCTTACCCTTACTCTCGTCATCGTAGTGAGAAAGAAAAAAAAGAGAGTGAGAGAGAGAGAGTAAGATGAGAGAGGGGAGAATGGCCGAAAGAAAAATTTCATCGCGCGAAAATGTTCAATGTCAACGTGATGTAGACAAAATTTAAATTGAGTTTTGAAAGAGTAAGAAAAGTCACCGAACGAAGAAGAAAAAAGAGAAGAAGAAAAAAAAATATAGTAAGTCTCCGTACTTTTCTACGAGATATTCGTTCTTACGCTTGATTTTTCTTCTGGTAATGTTTTAGCAAAAGGAAAACGAAACTTTAAAAGATAGCGCGATGTAAATGAATATTCGAATCGAATTACGAATGATTCGATTTATCGTTTGGTTCTCATATGACGAAACATTTCTTGTTAAATTGGAATTTGCAATTGACAAACCGCAAGTTGTATTTGCTCGTTCTATTTATCTCATCGAAGATTTTCTCTACGATTCCCTTTGAGCATAAACCACTGCCCTTACCATCTACTACACATATATATATGTACCTATGTATATACATATATGCAAGTATATGTACGTGTAGTAGGATACATCATACTTTTCTCTCTCTCTCTCTCTCTCTCTCTCTCTCTCTCTCTCTCTCTCTTACCATAGCATCTCAGTTTCAATTTACTGCTTCTGCAGACTCTGCGATTTTTCTTATGTATTTTTTCCCTCTCTCTCTCTCTCTCTCTCTCTCTCTCTCCTTTTTTCCTGCGTAACAGGAAAAGCATTTCCTCGAGAAGAAGTTGAATCGAGTCGCACTAAGAAAAATGACCCCCGTGGCGCATGCTGAACGGGATTCTCTCTGTCATTTTCAAGGATACTACGGAATTAGTTGCTCGATCGAATTTCAAATTCTATAATATTTTTTGTCCTTTTTATTTATATTTTATATTCCGATATTCTCATTTTAAAAGCTGATATTTGTTAACGAGAAAAATGGGTAAGACATAGAATAATTAAAAAAAAAACAAATGTGTATCATTCGATCAACGTTTGATTTCACTTTTTCGTAAAGCCGATCGATTCGAAAGTTTCGATTATAGTAGATAAATAAAAAGATATCACAGTTAAAAAGAAACAATAATGCCTAGATTGAATAGTGGTCATTTTTAAAGGAACGTTGTTTAATATATCTTTAGGAAAGTTCAGTATGAGTGACGAAGCAAGACATCGATAACAACGTAGGGAAACGGCGCGTTCGTCCGAGCGTTAATTCTTGAATTAAAGCACTGGAGATACGAGAGAATAAACGGAATTAATTCCAACGTCTATGTCCACGTCGACGACATTTTCGTCGTCCTCGAAGTTAATTTAATTACGTCGTCGCAGTTACCTCGACTACTACTCCTACTAGTAGTAGTAGTAGTAGTAGTACCAGCAAGTAGTAGTAATAGTAGTAGTAGTAGTAGTACCAGCAAGTAGTAGTAATAGTAGTAGTAGTAGTAGTACCAGCAAGTAGTAGTAATAGTAGTAGTAGTAGAAAAGTACAGGAGATGCCACAGGAAACTCGCGGTGCCACGTCGCGCTTGATTTCGGTCGAAAATTATTTCGAGTACGTCACTCTATTTTTGGACATAATACGCAGGATAACGTGTCGTGTGACACCCACGAGTACCATGTATCTCTCTCTTTCTCTCCTTCTTTCTTTCTTTCTTTCTTTCTTCTATATTCCCTCTTTTTTCTTCCATTCATCTCGTTCTCTTTCTTTCTTTTTTTTACCTCGTTTTGTTTAAACAGATCATTATGCGCCTCCAGTGCTTTGTAAAATGTTGCCCCCTTCGACCATATTCGTTTCAAGCTCGATAGCATACGTTGTTAGAAATTCTATTCGCGAGTTCGGCACGATGCCAAGTTCAAAGGCTCTTGACCCTACCCAATTCGCCTTGCAGAGACTGGATCTGAAAATGGAAGAGAGATCGAGAGAGATGGGTAAGGTGAAACTAGAAGAGCCACTAACCTAGGAGGGTATAAATCCCGATCCCGAGGAGATTTCGAATTCCTTCCAACGATTTGATCCTACCAACGTTAAGACGAATTCCAATCCATTTATCCGGAAATTCTTTTTTTTCATACTATCTTAAATATTCATTCTAAAATAATCATCTAATGAATCATTTAAAAATTGATAATAATTGTTTCGATAAGTGACAAGTATCCGACAAAGAAAATATCATAAAAATAATCAAGTAGTGTAATATTTCTCAGTACATTGATCAAATTGATAAAACAACCCTTTTCAGTTACACTTATTCGCACCTTATCAACGTTTTAATTACATTTCATAATCATAAAGGTAATCATTCTCTTAATCATTACAGTGGTCTAAAGTACAATCGGCCAAATTCTCGATCTTGGAACATCAGATGGATCCAAGTAGCAATTTTAGCAGCTATCGTAGCACCCTGAAGGCAGCAATGTGGCGTAGCGCCGGCGCTACGGATGAACGACAACGAATCGTCGTGCCCTTCTTTAGCCTGTTGGTCAAGGATCTATACTTTCTCAACGAGGGTTGCAGCAACAAGTGAGTTAAACTTACATGCAATATATTAACACACATATATATAGATATAATACATATATAAAATATATATATATATATATATATATATATTATATGTGTAAATATGTATGCATACAATAAGTATGTACTATATGATATACTTATACAAATGTGCATATATATATTACATGTATATACATAAGTTTAATGGAATTTCAAGTGGTGGGCTGAGAATTTAATTAATAGAGCGTGACATAGGTAGGCAAACTGCATGGTCAACCTGTCATTCTATGTTGTTGCTAATTTACTAGTAATTGTTCTACATAGGTATATACATTATTATAACTAGAGCATTCTCGACACTAGTACTAAGAGAGGAAGTGGACGAGTCCTTCTGACGTTTAATTGATGCCAACGCGAGAACGACTAGACAGTCAGAGAGAGAGAAAGAGATAGTGTAGCTAGCATCTACGTGACACAAAATAAAACACGTAACATTCGTATCATGTTTTTCATGCAGCTTTTCATGCTTCCAGGCGGTAAATAAATTTCAACGTTGGCTTATTCTAACCAAAATTTTTTTATCACGTTAACATTTTTTTTTACTAATTTTTAAGTTACATTATCTTATAGTGACGTACTTTACGTATATTGTTATTTTTTAAATAAATAAAAAAAATAAAATATCACTTGTTCGAGTATAGGGTAAATAATCGATAAATTGATTTATCTCTTACTCTTAAAATAAGAGCATAAATTTTTGGGAAATACTGTATTATATTATACAGGATGGTCCACCAACTATTAGCATCTATATATTTCCCTTATTTGTTATAATATAGAAAAATGTTATATACAAAATTTATATGGCATGAAAAGGTATATAAGGTAGTATAAATATTTTTTACGTTGGTGGAAGTGTACAGAGATTCTTAAGGTCATTTTGATTTTTTTAAATATGTTTTTTTTCTATAGTTTGATACTGTATAACATTTTTCTATATTATAACAAATAACGGAAATACAATATTTAGGTTCTAATAATTGGTGGACCACCCTGTATATATTATATATATATACATTAGGGTGGGTCAAAAGAATGACTTTTTTTTTTTTCAAGTGCCACGGAAAAATGGGTTGCTAGACACCTTAAAACAATTCTCACCAAATATGAGCTCTTAATTTTAATARGAAGATCCTCCGCATCGCAGTTGTTTATTTTTTTTTTCAGTCTAATAGATTAAAATTCATACCTCATTATTTATTGACTGTACAGAAAAATGTTCAAGACGAATTTTGTAGGAAATGTAATGCTCTACAAAAAAGGTATCTTATATTTTTTCTGTAAACTTCACCATTTGAGTGATATTGAAGATTTAAATGTGATGATTTTTAGACAAATTTCATTTTTGTTTATGGAATTTATAACTCGACAGTGAATGACTATTAAAAAGTGCACAATACAAATTTTTGTAGGAAACTAACTGCTCTATAAAAATGGTGTCTTATGTTTTGGCAATTAAATTAAGCGTTCAAAAGATATTCATCATCAAACTTTCATGTGTACTGATTTCTGTCTCTGAATATCTTTTGAACGCTTAATTTAATCGGCAAAACATAAGACACTATTTTTATAGAGAAGTTTATTTCCTACAATAATTTGTATTGCGCATCTTATAATAGTCATTCATTGTCGAGTTATAAATTTCATAAACAAAAATGAAATTTGTCTAAAAATCATCAAATTTAAATCTTCAATATCATCCAAATGGTGAGGTTTACGGAAAAAATATAAGATACCTTTTTTGTAGAGCATTAMATTTCCTACAAAATTCATCTAGAACATTTTTCTGTACAATCAATAAATAATGAGGTATGAATTTTAATCTATTAGACTGAAAAAAAAAATAAAAAACTGCGATGCGGAGGATCTTCCTATTAAAATTAAGAGCTTATATTTGGTGAGAATTGTTTTAAGGTGTCTAGCAACTCATTTTTCCGTGGCACTTGAAAAAAAAAATAAGTCATTTTTTTGACCCACCCTAATATATATATATATATATATATTTTAATCAAAAATTCTCGATTGCTTTCGAAAAGAAGTTTTCCTTGTCGATCTTCGCAAGATCCTTCCTACGCGGCGTTTCCCATGCCGGGATTATTAATCTCAGAAAAAGCAATATGTCGACGTATCGGGTCGACGTCGCTTGCAGAACTCATCCTTTTCGAGAATCTTATTTATTACATTTACGAACGTGACATTACGCGCCCACTTGTACGTGTAAACTTATTAAACTTATAATGGCAAAAGTTGTATCCTGAAAAAGTCGGGGAAAAAGGAGAAGAAAAATTAAAAAAAAAAGGTACAAGAAATATGAAAGGTTCCGAGTAAAAAGAAAAACTTGAAAATACTGTCCTCTCTTCCTTTCTCTCTCTCTCTCTCTCTCTCTCTCTCTCTCTCTCTTTCTATGTTTTTTCTTTTTTTGTTATCCTCTTAAAAATATACAAAAAAATCGTAGAACGATTATGTTCATGTAAAAAATTGGAAGCGTTGATCGAAGTATAATTATAAGAACAATCCTTTTTTTAATGAAATTAATAACATTTCTTTTTATTTGATCATGTTACAGACTACCAAACGGGCACATTAATTTTGAGAAATTTTGGCAACTGGCAAAGCAGGTTACGGAATTCATCGCGTGGAAACAAGTAGCCTGTCCATTTGAAAAGAATCCTAGAGTTATAGCCTTTTTGCAAGCGAGTCCTGTGTTGACTGAAAATGGTAAGAATAAAGAATTATTGTGTATTATAATCCGACGATAATGTGAACAATTGTATCAATTTTTAACTATTATAATTTATTTTATTTCTTTTTTTACAGCATTGGCTTTAGCATCATTCGAATGTGAACCACCTGATAATAATCCCGAGAAGGAACGTTACAAAGCTTTAAAGTGAGTACACGACTTATAAGACCGTTACATTTTATAACTATTTATAATAATACAATATATTAAAAAATATTCTTCTTTTTTTAAATGATCATTTAAAAATATAATTGTACTTATATATTAAACTGAAAATATCATTGACGATATATATTTTACATATATATTTTACAGGTCTGAAATGAACGCCCAGTGAAAAAAAGATTTACTGCAACACGTTGAGCAGGAACGCTACTGATAAAGAATAAGTATATATACGTATATGTATACATATACATATATACACTGTTCTATATATATATATATACATATACAAACAAGTTTCTATTAATTAATATATTCGTTACGGTATCCAAGTTAATCTCCTGCGAAAAGACAGAATGTGTTCTCGATGGGAGGAGGTAAAGAAAAAAGAAAAGTAAAAAGAAACAAAAAGGAAAGAAGAAAGAAAAAAGGAAGGAAGTAAGTAAGGAAGGAAGAAAATAAAAAAAAAAAAAAAGCAAAAAAGAAAGAAATAAAGCGGTAAGGATGACACATTGAAGAGGAAAACTAGACAAAAAAAATTCAAAATATAAATGTGACGGTTTTAAAGTATTAAAACGGGAATAAGCCTACATCGGATGTTGTAAACTCGTCGTATCATGATTGCACTCGCGATTAAAAATTGCGCTATAGTGAGATCCTCGCGTTGTTAAAAATCGATTAAGCATCTGCTTGACCCGTATAGTCATCGGCAATGTAAAAATGAAGTTCGACCGACCTCGTTGCGATACGGATGAAAACGTAATCCTTCGGGTAATATTCCTGACGGCCTTGGGTAGGCCATCGACAAGAGAGAGAGAGAGAGAGAGAAAGAGAGTAGTATACTGTATGAACGTATCGAGCAGTTCGCGATTAAAAAGCAAGGAAAAGTAAAGGTATATGGCTTGCACGATGAGTTATGCTCAGATGTAGGCCAACGTTCTGTCGGTGGGGGTAGAGGATAAGGGTGGACAAGATCGATTCGCTAAATGATTTTTCACGATTGCAAATGACAATACGGGTCTCGCGAGATCGAATAAACAGACTATTTTTCGAAATCAGATTTCGGAATTGATCTGTTATTTACATTTAAAAAAAAATAAATAAAACAGAGAAATAAATAGAAAAAGAAAGAAAAGAAAAGAGTGAGAGAGAGAGAGTAAATGAAAGAAAACTAAAAACATGCAAGAGATTTTCCTTTCATTGTTAAAAAAAAAAAAGAAAACGAGAGAAAAAAAATAAAACAAGAAAACGTTAGGAAGATCAGCTTCGAGCGAAAAAGGTATCCGTTATTCAAATCGGATGATTAAGTATTTATATGTAATGTATGTATTTTAAGGAAGAGAATTATTCGCTCGGACAATATCGCGCGTGAACAGTAAGTATAGTTCCTAAGTCCGAGGCCCAAGTACCGGCTGAGAATCTCGAAAGTTCTTCGAATATCCTCCTTTGTTTTTTTTCTATTTTTTTTTCCAATGAAAATAATAGGAAAGAGTATGAACGCGAAAGATCGACGAAAATCCTAACGAGAGAAGAAGTATAATCGGAGTATTCTCGAGAGATGATCCGTGACATAGCCGATCCTTTTGTACATATTCCTTTTGATATAACGCTAAACGGACTCCTAAGTGTCAGAAGTAGGTTCGTTCCTGTAGTTTCTAAGTTCTAATATAGAATCATAGATATCCGATAAGAGAGAAAGATAATAAAAAAAAAGAGCCACACTACGATCATTGTGTCCGTACTTAAAAAAGTCATAAATACAAACAAAGATAAAAGAAGAAAATGAAGAGAAAAAGAAAAAGAAAAAGAAAGATAGAGACGATGAGAAAGTCATAAGAACTCGTACGTGGTGTTAAAATCAACGTATGAAATATTTGCCTGTCGTGCAAATCATTATATCGACTTGATCGACGTTCAACAAACGAATCGTTTTAAAATATTGTTCGTTCTCTAACCATGCCCGTTCAAAAGTCTTGCAAAATGATTTAGAAAAATGTAATACGTTTGACAATGAATGAGTAACGTATTGAACTGGAAAATAGGGGAGGAGGAAGAAAGAAATGAGGTCAAACGTTGGAAAGATTCGATCAAAACGTTCGATTTAGTCAACTACATTGACTTTTACGATCTCGAATAGGAAAGAAGAAAGATGATAGATCACACGATTTTACTAATATCCGGCGTTGTTTTCTTTCTTTGCCTGCATGTAAACTCGAGAGTACGAAAGGAAAACCTTCTTCAAATATTTAGGGACCAAGAGTTCGCTTTTCCTGGGTACATAGCGCAATCCGAGTCAAAAGATAAGAAAAAGGAAAAAGAATAAGAATAAGGAAAGATAAAAGAGAGAAAAATATGAAAGGAATAAAAAGAAAAAGATAGTGGAAGAAAGGTAAAACAAAAGAGAACAAGAAATTAAAACGAAGTCACGAACAATAGCAACGTTTTACCCGCCCCGTCGCGAAAGTGCCGAAATATAAGAGCGGATATTAAAAAAAAAAAAAGAAACAAATAAAGGATGAAGATCTCGAAATGTCCACAAAAGTCAACAACAAAAAGATCGCAAGTAACAAAGAAAGTATAAAAATTCATCGATCGATCGAATCGCAACAACAAAATCCGTGAGTCATCGAACGCTATGGACACTTGCCATTCTTTCCATTTATTTTATTAAAACAAATGATCATAATTTTTATTTTTCTTATTCTCGTGTCGTTTAACGTGTAAACATGTTATGTATTACGAATTCACGTCGTCTTCATTAGATAAAAAATATTTCAAATAAAATAATACGATCTTCATCCTACAAAGTAGAAACGCATGAAAGTACATTATTACAAAATATAGCGAGATCTTTGTAATAAAAATTAATTAAAAAGAAATTACTCCTCTCAAAACTAACAAGAAGAAGAAGAAAAAGAGAAAAGAAACACGACCGTACATCGAGAAAAGCGAAATTCTTGAAAAAAAAAAAAGAAAAAGAAAAGAAAAGGAAAAAAAAAAGACGTTTATAAAGATACACCGTTATAGTATGATATCGTATAACATAATAATGGAAACGATAAATAAATAAATATATTGCGATATATTCATCATGACGTAAATGACAGTAAATAATACGGTTATACGTACGAGTTCTCTGTACGATAAGAAACAGTAAAAAATTTTCCGAGATACGTAGATGTCGTATTTCGTTATTCGTCTCGTTGAATATTATCATCATCAATTTTATCATCGTCGTCGTCGTCTCGAAACTACCGAATGCACTTTTAATCACGAACTGTTAAATACGTAAAGTTAAAACTAACTGTTTTCCTTACTTCTTGATAAAACAACTACTTTCTTACGATCTTTCAAAGAATCTCTTCGTCCTATCCGGCAAAACAAAGTGTCCGAATGTTCTATGATGACTCGATGGAGTTTTATTTGTTTTCTTTCTCATGTAGATAGGATATAACAATCGTCGACAATTATACACACATGCACGTTTATCGTAAGTAAATAAGAAATATAAAATTACCACCGTAACGTTTAAGCCGCTTAAATCGTCGCATTGTCAATATTCATATCTCGTTATCACCAATAATGACCATTTTTGATCATCCTCGCTCAATCCGTGTTCAAAAATCCATCCTAAGCACCACCCCCTTCTCTAAAAATCACCCACGACACTCTATATACTAATCGATGAATTTTTTTTTTCAATCTGTCCTCATTAACTAATTTTCTTAATACGAGCAGCACCCAACTTCGATTTTTTATATCACGTGCGCCATTTTTTCTACTACTATACTTAATCCGATTTAACGCGTCAGATTATAATCGCGATTGCCTTTCGATCGGCTAAAATTCAATCGATGACAAAAAAACATAATATTATTATGTACGTTACGAGTTTATGTAAAAACGTGAGTCTATCGATTCGCGATCGTTTCGCGAATGATAGACGAAAAAGCGTCACCCATCCAAATTTCTTTATAAAAAAAGTGCTGCTCCGTTGTCCCTTTCTATTTAAGGTACACTACAAAGTTTATCGTTACACAATCTGTAAATATTAAAGAATAGCGTGTATATATAAATACATACAATTATATAATATATGCGTATCTATTATGCGTTAATTTAGATTTTAAGTATTAGACCGTAATCGAATTTAAATTAGATCGACCCAGGACTGCCGTTACAGAAAAAAAAATAATAATTTCATCGATGAATTTTGTCTTCAATATTTTTGTTTGCTTATGGATCACAATTTTTCTTTTCTCCATCGTTCATAAACAGAAATAATTAACTCATAACTTTAATATAAATAAACTCTGATTTTATTGACAACTGTGCAGATAACGATAAATCACTTGAATCTTTACTCAAATATTTTTTTTCTTAAATACGACAGCCCTGAAGCCGACAAAAGAGAGAAAGAGAGAGAGAGAGAGAGAAAGAGAGAAAGAAATAAAGAAAGAAAAAGAAATAGGAAGAGTAAAAACGCGTTGTAAACGCATCAGAAAAAACGTCGCGACGAATAATCGACGAAGAAAATTGTCGATCCATCGATCGTCGACCTGAGATCGCCTAACGCTATATTATAGCAAAAATAACTAGATTCATCCTCGAAATCAATTTCTAGAGAAAAAAAATCTTGCTTATCGTCTAGTCACTAGATAGTTAGTCGAGCCCGAGCTTTTTTCGCCGCGAAAGGAGCGACCTACTTTTATTGCGAATTTATTGTTCATTTGTTATTTTAATTAAATATTATAATAAGTATACACCCTTATCTATAACTTATATAATATTATAATATGCTGTGCTTTTATATATCATTACATATATTTGCCATGCGTTTTATACAAATTTACATTATAATAATATTTACACGTCTTCGTATTGGTTTTCTGGCAATGATTCATGAAATATTTCTACGAACGATATTATTATATCGTTTAAATTCGATAAGATGATAATAATAATAATGAACGCGTTTTGTAAATGAATGATTTTTTTTTTAATGACATTTAATATACGTTAAAAATACAAACACGTTATTAAACATTTCCTCCAAGAGAACGCTCCTTTGGCGAGCTGAATCTAGGTCGGGAAACATTATGCCTAAATTAAGCGTATTCGAGAGTAAGAGTTAATGATCATTTGCGCGCTAAACGTATATGTGTAATATTTTCATCGAACATTCCCCGTTTTAATTAAGTAACAAACTTTTTAGAAGACGCTCGAATAGTACGATACGCGTCTAATTACTTCGCCAAGTTTGCTTGTAAATGATATTTAACTTTTCATTCCTTTCTTCTATTTGTTATTTTTTTTTATTTCTTCTTTAATATTCTCTTTTTTTGTGTTTTTTTTTCTTTTTAATTTAATATTTTCGCGCGATATAAACTCTTTGGATATATGATGATCAATGTGATCGTTGATAGGCCAAGAGGAATAAAGAATAAGTATGTGTGTGTGCGTGTGCGTATGCGTGTACGTGTATGTAAAAGAGAGAGAGAGAACGAAAAAATGGAAAAAAAAGAAAGAAACTCGAAACCCCACCCTCCCTCACCCCTTCATCATTCACATAACTTATCACAGGAATCTTCGTTGAATCATTTCAGCGTGATTGAAATTATTCATCAAAAGTTATTATTCTCGATCATGAGAAAATTGATCGAAATAATTGATAATGTAAACGCGTTGAAAAATCGTTTTTTATATTATCGTCAAAATCCAACATATTCAAATGTTATCAATAACAATATTATCCTACCACAGAATGCATTTTTTCCAGAATATTATATATTTAAATAAAATATAATTTGTTTGATCCAAACTGACACCAAAATGGATCGAAATTCAGCAATCTATTATGCGTTGTAGCAGCAACAACACGACGTTGTTTGAATACTTTGTAAATCTTTTCATGAAGATGTCAGTTTCATTTGATTGTACAAATACGAGTTCTCCTCTTTTTTACTTTCGACGATGTCAAAAAAAGAAAAGAAAGAAATGCGTTGGGACTATTTGTACATATATAGGCTCAATCATGTAACAGCAATGAAACAGCAATTAAAATTATTGTAGAAACGATGATGTCTTACAAAATAAATTGCAAATCGATAAAAAAAAACTTTAATTAAAATATTTCTTTCCCTCTCTTCCAACTGGCAAACATATAAAGAAATTAATCGAAATTAAAATTAGATCTCGTTTATTGAAATAAATTTATTTTGTATAAGTTTATCTTCCCGACAGTGACTGTATTATCTTTTGATCGATCCAACGTCGATAATGTGCAACTCGAACGTAAACACCAGGTTTGTTGGCTTTTCCACAATGTTGACCCCAACTTGTAATCCCATACAAAGTAAATGCACCTATGTGAAAGGAAAAATATAAAAATGTTAAAATTACATTTTTTAATTATATGAAATTTTCATTAAAGAATATTACCATTATGATAACACGCCAATGGACCACCAGAATCACCATCGCAAGTATCCACCCCTTCATTCAAATGTCCAGCGCACACCATTCCATCGCTAATCTTTCCAGCACCATAAACGTGCTCAGCACGACATACCGATTGATCTAATAAAGGTATCCACCCGTACCTAAGATTTCTGGAAGGTGCTAACGATAAAGAAAAAGAGTGAATTATATATAAATACAAATATTATCATAATCAGAGAAATGTTGATAACACAATTAATAATAAATATTTACTAGTTCTTCCAGTTTCAATACTGCCAAATCCGCTGATAGTACAATTCAATCCTGCAGGATATTCAGTATTTTCCGGTGGCAAGCAAATCGGCATGATATCTTTGCCTAAAGGTATACCTTGTCCTTTGAGCAAAATTAGAGCAATATCGTTATTCATTCTATGACCTTTACGAAAATCTTCATGAATGTAATAATCTTCAATGTTTGCTTCCCTCTCTGTCCCCTCCTCTTCCTAAGTATATTTAAGAATTGTTAAAATTATTATCTTTGTAGCTAACAATAAGTGATATTTAACTTGGAAACTGCCTTACTTCAGTGTTATAATCACCAGCACGAACAAAATATGTTCCTTTGTTGTAACCTTCTAAACAGTGTGCTGCCGTTAGAACATGCAGAGGCGACAAAACAACTGCACCACACCAATGATTCGATCTACTATGTCCCCTAACTCGTATACTCGCCTACCAATTTATATTATATTAACAAATTTATTTGACGAAAGAAAAATTAATCGATATATTGTTTAATAATACGATTTTTTTATCACACTTGTTTGCCATTAATTAGTTAAATTATTTAATTTACCTGCCACGGATATGTGCCTTTTGGTGCAATAGAACCGTGCACCACTTTAGCAAATATTAGATCTTCGTCGTCGTTAAAATCTTCCGAACGTTTTCCACAATTTGCTGGTAGAACATCATTGATTCTTGATTCGGGTAAATCGGTCACCGTATTCCAGATATACTGAACGATAAACAGGTAAATCAGGATCAGGAAATGAAGTAATTATTCTCCATGTACTTTGTATACTTCAATATTTTTATTTTCACTAATAATCGTGGTATTGTTAAAAAAAAAGAAAATTACAAATTATCTTCATCTAAAAACCACAATCGTACAAATAAGTTAAATGTTTAAACTCTAACAGTAATTTTTGGTTACGTTTGATCTTGAAAGACTAGAAATCACAGATTCGTATAGACAAATCATTGTGTTTCGACCAAATGTATAAAAAAAATTATGATCTACTCCGAGAGAGATTATTTTGTGTTACCTCGGAGTCATCGTTCGCGTTTCCATATGAACAGATTACACCCGCATCTTCGTTGTGATCGCAATTAGTTTGTCCCCATTGATCATGATTGCAACGATACAATTGTGTCTCATTTCCATGACAAAAAACCTGATTTAAATAAAATGATGATATAGAATGGAAATTAAAAGGAATATGAAGTAAATACAAAGTTCCTAAAAACATACTTCATCAAGCCAAATAGGTCCCTGTCCAGGACCAAAGAAACCGTCTTTTTTTGGTTTTGCAACCCCATTATATCCCAAAGATCTACAAATAACTCTAGCTGTTGCAGCAGAGAAATCATCGTCACAAACTGTACCCCATATACCATGATGATAAACTTCTACTCTGCCTTCCAAGGGACTACTACCATTTACCAGACGAATATCGAATGGAGCCTTAGTTAATAGAGAAATCAAAATAAATTATTTTCATGGCTAATAATTAATTGAAATTTTTTCAATAATAAATTAAATGTATCTCTTACGTTACAACGTTCGTCACTTTCATCGGATTTGTCTGAACAGTCTTGAACTACGTCACAGATAAACGCTATAGGTATACATTCCGGACTGTTTTCGCATTTCCAATGGCCTTCCTGACATGTGTCAACCGCTGTTTTGCAAACTACACCTACAGCCTCTTCTGGTTGACAATTATGAACGCCCCAACTGTCAAATTATATAAATAAAATAATACAGTATAATTTTCTCTACTTATCTTATCTCTCATTTTAACCGAAATTTTAACCTACCCTTCGAAATCACAATGACGCAAAGACGTTTCATTGCCACGACATTTCAATTGATCAACCATGAATCGAGTTGGTGGATCTAAATTACCGTAATATCCTCCGGGTTTAATTTCCAAAGCACCCAATGGAAAACCGAGTTCTTTACAAATAACATCAGCATTGATCATACCAAAACCATCGTCACAAACTTGGCCCCATACACCCAAAACTATTGAAAATAATTAACGATGCTGTCAAGAAGCTAAAGAATTCTTTATAAAGATACAACGAACGAAATTAATTTAGCATACTTACTTTTAACTTCGATTCTACCCTCGTCTAAATTATCCGAACCGGCAAGTCGAATAGCATAATCTAGATTTTCGACGGTGCAGATATTTTCATCGGTACGATCATTGCAATCATTTTTTCCATTACACACTAACGTGTGATTAATGCACTTTCGATTTTCACAGATGAACATGTCATCACATTTAATACTTCTTTCTTTCATTTCATAATAATCAAAATCCTTCATCGGCTTTAAAGCTCCCGTTAAACCTATATTGCTATCACTCAGTAAACAAATATTACCGCTTGCTCTAAAAAATTTAAGAATGTCATAAATAACAATGAAAATTTTTGTAATAAATACAAACGGATAAAGAAACATACTTATGAGCGAATGATCGACAAGTGAAATCAGCTTCCTTACATCTTAGAGCGCATGTTTTTAAAGGTGTGTTCAACCACTTTTCGACATCGTATCCTTCAAGCCTGTGCTTTGCAAATTTCTGATAAAGATCCATATGATCTATGCATGCTCGCTCATCTGCACCATTTGTACAATCCTACCAAAAATTCATGAAAATTATTTAATGAATATATGAGAATGAAAATAATCATATTCATACCTCTTCTCCGTCGCAAACCCACGGTGACGGAATGCATTCCCCAGGTAAACATTCAAAATGTTTCGATTTACATTGGCCACTTAAGTGCATTTTCTTGGATTCTAAAACACAGAACTTCGATTATCATCCTCTTACAATTAATTAATATATATAGAATTAAACTAATAAAAAAAAATGAATTACCAATTTTTCCGCAAGGTGGAAGATCGCAATATTCTCGTTCTCCGAAGGAACCTGTATAACACCATGGCATGGTTTCTACATTCGGATTTGGATTCCTACAATAATTGTGGGGTTGCAATTTCTTTTTGACATCACGATTAGGTACCTATTTAATACAAATAATTATCAGTTAAGTTATTATAATTTGTGTAAAAATTACGTGATTAAAGATTGGATACATACGGCCATATTAAGATAATGAAGAACTCTATTATCAGCCCAGGGAAGACACTCTTTTCCTGATTCGGTTATATTTGCAGTTCCAAAATATTGATTGCCTTTACCATAAATGCAACCTAACAAACAAAAAGACATCTAGTAAATATTTTAATTAATTACTTTAAATGATTAATACATACCAATTTCATTGTACGGCCTTTTGCAGATATAGGCATGCCCCTTCATAGAAGTAGCACAATCTTCAACATCCCAAAAGAAGTAATCCGCGACGCAAATTGATTCTGGACGATTGTGACAAGGAAACTTTCGTTTCATAATTATACAAGCTGGACGTGAACCCACCCAAGGTGGTAATTTCTTGTCTTCCATCCATCCTGGCCACCATTTCGTGAATCTATAAATAATATATTTTTTACGAAAAAAAATAAAACAACAGATAGAGATAAGCTTAGATGTTTATAATCGAACTTACTTAAATTTAGAACGACTTGAATCTTCCCAAAGCCACAGAGTCCTGTTGAAAGTGGTGAAACCAACTCCAGAAGTCATAATCGATCCGATTTCTGGATGCGATTGCGACAACCATTCTGATATGAAGTCGTTCTCTGCTTGACTTATAATGTCAATAAGCCGACTATTCCTTTTGGAACAATACTGAAGTGCTTCTGCATGATTTAATCCGGTCTCTGAATCGGCTAAATGATAACATTGTCCATCGTGTGGAATTTCATCCTTACGACAATGTACTATTCGATTTGGCAAACATCTGACACCTATTGCATCTCTTTCTACACGACACTTTTCTCCATGTGTGAATCTATAATAATCATTTTTTACTTTTTACTAATTCATTTAGACATTAGACTCGTAGAATTTCATTCAAAGAATAGAAATATCTCAATAAACGTACTTGCAAGACTGAAATCTAATTTCATTGCCGGAACAAGTTACGGAATTCGCTGCAATCCAAGTTGGCATTCCATTACGTTTGCTTCTTCCTTGCCAAGCCATTTCGGCGCCTCTATAAATCGCAAAGAAATATTATCTTAAGTGACGTTCAACAGGGACACTATAATCTTAACGCAACGTCTAACTTCGTTACATTAAATCAAGGATGTTAACATAGATAAGTACATACCTAGAATATCCTAATTGTCTACAAACTACATGGGCTTCTTTGAGCGACCAACTATTTCTAGAATCGCAAACAATACCCCAACCTGGTTGTGCTCCTTGAACTTCAACGTAGCCATCTGAGGAACTAGGTCCATCTCTAAGTCGTATAACCTGTTAACACAAAATTAATATTATTCAATATAAAATAATTCAATTGAATTTCTTTTTATTATTTATTTATAAAAAAATATTGACCTGGCCTGAAATCGGTGTAGGCGGTGAAACCTTTTTCGAATGTAAAAGTGAATGAACCGGTGGGATATAATACACAGGGAATGGTGGTTCCTCTGTAAATAAAAAATATTTATATATATATTTAAATAAATGAAAAAAACATTATTAAAATATCTAATTAGTTTTACAATAACGTATAAGGACATTGAACTTGCGTCTTACACTAAATGCTTTAGTATCATGCGCCGAAAGCATAAACATGCGCCGGAAGCAATAGTATATACTATATTATAATATAATTGATGAAATTCTTACCCGTTAATCCATAATTATAAAATGAGGATTAAATCGAAACAACTTACCATTTTGATAAGGTGCTACTTCTACATTAAAGATATCCACATCCGTGTTTTTTTTATTGATTCTCATAATAACGGAAGAATCATTTTTGCTCGCGGGTTTAGTCTTATTTTCAAAAACCAATACTGGCTTCCAATCTCCTTTATCTTCTAAAACATCCACTTCGTATGAATCTAAATCATCTTCGGGAACGATTCCGTTGAAATTCGATGTAGGAGTTTTATTTTCAATTGTCAATTCTGTATCGGTTAACTCTGGACCATCCGTATTATCTTCGATCGATATGCTAGGAATATTAGGATTGGTGGTATTACTTTCATTTTCTGAAATATCTTGAGGAACAGGAACGCTTATGTTCTTGGAAGGCTTTAAATGAACATCCGGTATCTTTTCCGTTCCAACATTCTCAGAAGTTAATGGATTGAAATCGAACTGTTTAATTGAACGATTGATTGTACGACGTGGATCATGTTGCGATAATATAACCGATCGATTGATTGTACTATAAACAGGAAAATGAAAATCTTTTCCAGTAGAATAATCATTTGCCGCGCCTTTTAAATCCTTCGATGTTGACTGATTGAAAAAACGATTAGTAAAATTACCGTCGAATGGTTGAGGAATATTTACAGAATTCGGAGTATACTGTATAGGATAATGATTACTTGGAATGATAGGACTCTTAGTAGTTTCTTGATTATGTAAAGGCGTACGCGTGTAAATGCTGCCATAAGTTTGATTAAAAGAGAAAGGTGTATGTTGATTGTTATGATTATAAGTTTTAGTCTTCGAGTGTCCTTGATTAATTTCCAACTCTTTTGTGATAAAATGGCCTTTTATGCCATTACTGTTAACATAAATTCCGTATGGATAGAGTGGTTTTTTCTGTGTGGAATTTTTATATCCTAGAAACAAAAAGGCTTCTTTAAACATAACGTTTTGCGGTAAATGCATAACTTACTTTGCATAAATTATTTTCCTCTATAGGTACGTAAATAAATTCATTAAAAGACAACGATCTTTCTTTCATTCTGTATGTAGGCACATACCTGTTGATACCTGTCCTTTTGCTTGTAAAAAAACATTGGTTTTACTTAACCATTTATTCATTTTGGAATCAACTTCCTTGTCAATTATGGTTTGCCGTTGAATATTAGTTCTCGCGTACCATTCGCGTAATTTTTCTTCTTCATCGATTGCATCTACATACCAGTATGGTTTTTAATAATTATAAATATGCGACAAAAAAAATACACTATGTTTAATATAAATATTATACATTTATGTTAAAATTATATATCGCAAATGATCTTAGTTAGTTTTGTAGCTAGTAAATTTCGTTAAAATTAATAATTATCCCTTTATTTTTTAGTTGCCGATTATTGCTTACCATTTTCTTTAGATTTTCTTGATCCTTCATCCATAGAAAACAAACCTTCTACATTCGTGCGCTGATATCCTTTGGGATAAAAAATGTCCCAATTCGGATTTATGCAACTGTTATTTAAAAATCGACTATGAACAATACTAACCCATCTATTTAAAAAATAATCCAAATGATTCAACATGCTATCAAAATAAATCGAACAACCCTTATCATGCCATGCAAATCTTTTCAAAACCATGCAAATATTTGCATTCTTTTTTTCATGCCAACCTATTTAAATAATCAAATAAAAATCCGCAAAAAAAGATTATAATCAATTTAAGACATAATACAAAATCACCTTGATTCCATGGCCGAGACGATGGTTGATTAGAGTTATCTGAATGATTTACGAATGTAGTTGGACGACTCCATGTAATATTATTTTGATTCGGTCTTGAAAAACTTGTTCCGATTTGTACACTCAAATTTCTGTTTGTTCTATCTCGAGATTCCACTTCATCATGTGAATCGTAATCGTTATTAACATAAATGTTTTTATTCGAACTTGTAGATTCATTTGTTTGTCTATTATCAAATTCAGGATTGTTTCTACCATTGTTTATCCTATACAAATGAACTGTACTATTAAATCTATGTCTAGTTGGTACATAAGAGTCAAAACGCCAAGTAGATTCTCCTGATTGATTATTAGTTTGCTGCTTGTTAAAGTCATCGATATTTGTATGAGAATGGTTTGCATGATTCCAAGTTTCTTCAGTATTATGTATAGTTGGAGAACCTTGCTGATGTCCATCAGATTCAAATATTCTTCTATTACCAGGATATTGAGTATCGTTGATCTTTGGAAGATAATGATGGTAATGATAATGATAATGATGATTTATATCACGTGAATCGTAAGGGTTTGGAGAATGTGTCATGTGATTTGTAATATTACAATTTACTTCGGTCATAGGTTGTCCTGATCTTGAATGATTGTAATGATAATGACCATGATCGTGATGATAACCATGATCGTGATGATGACCATGATTCTGATAATTTTCATAGTTATTAATGGATCCCATGGAATTAGATTGATTTTGTAGATTATTCATTGGTTTCTGAATCATCGGTCTCCAAGTAGGTCTCCACACTGTCCTTGGCAATTCAGTCGTAGTTATAGGCTGAATTTGATTATTCCTAAAACCTTGGCCATGATTATTATATCGATTATAAGTATGATTATATCGAGGATGTTCGTGCGATGACTCTGGATCTCCTCTGCTGTATGGCGGCCAAGGTCTGCTCGTTGTCGTAACTTGTTTGAATTTTTTCTCTGTCGAAACAGTAATAGCAATAATAATTGAATTTTTTCAAACCATACTCTACAACAGTTCAAAGCTTGAAAAATTCTAATTACCTTCTTTACAAGCTGGTACCTTATGTGGCCAATCACACACCGATATGAGAGGATTAAAAGCTGTTCCTGGCCCACAATCCATCACATACGTAATACCATTCGCACACTGCAAAAATTTTCTACAATTTTCTGGATGAGGTAATAGACCAGTAAAATCATCAGGGCACTCGATCTTTTTTTCGGATGATTGTGTGTTATGTTTCAATTGATTGGCAAAATTATTATTCGAATTATCATGAACATTATGATTATGAAAATTTGGGTCCGGTGGTACTTCAAAAATCTTTGTGGTATGCTCTTTTGATTTAAACGTATCTGTTTAAACAAAAATATTAATTTATATCCATATCATCATGTAACGAATATTTTTCACTAACCTTCGCAGCCTCTTACATTGTAAGGCCAATCACAGACGCTAAGGGCGGGATTGAAAACCGTACCAGGACCACAATCCATTTCGAATGCCATTCCATTGGCACAATTTAAAAACTTGGTACAATCTGTAGGGTGTGGGATTAGACCTGCCACGTGAGGTGGACATTTTGGTTTCTGGTAATGAAGAAATCGATAACAAATAAATTATATATACACATGTCTTTTTTTGTTATTTAATAACCTAATGAAATTTACAAAAACAAATGTATACACGTACATGTGATTCCTCTTGTCCCTCATCGATCTTCAGATTGTATGCTTTTGAGTAACGTATAGGGTCAGAAATCTCTGAGCCGTAACATGTAACTTTGTACGGAAAATCACATTCCAATGTCTCAGGATTAAATAAAGTACCTGGAGCACAGGGTTGAACGAACGCTCTGCCTTTCCAACAGTTAACAAAGAATTTACAATCGGGAGGATAAATAAACTGACCAGTAGAATCTAAATTTGGACATTGTACTCCCGATCGAAAATCATAATGCGCTACCGTCGATATGGGATTATTCCAAAATAATATTCTTTCTTGTCTCGGTTTCTAAAAACAAATCGAATATTAGGTAGATAACAAAAAAATAACATATACTGTAGCAGTGACATCGAATAAAGATAAGCGTTCTTAAGTATATATTATCCAAACATTTATGTACTAAAGCAAATTACATCGCAGTATCATTAAAAGTACCGCTGTTGAGTAAACAAAAATGGTGAAATTTACCGTGCTCTCACTTCCAATCCCTTCATATAACAAAGTTGAATCACTATCCTCAGATAATTTGTGCTTTAATTTATTGCCAGAAGTTTCGGGATTATTGCGATCTTGATAAACATTCTTATCTGTAGAAGTAGAACCATATTCGTATTGACCTTCTGGAGGATGCTCCGGATGATCATCCGGATGATCGTCGATTTGATCAAATTGATCATGATCGTGATGTTGTTTGGAAATCTGATCATTCCTTATCTCTGTTCTTAACTCGATCTCACTACCAGAAGTTTTACGCCATGGTGTCCAAGATGTGCTATCCGAATTAACGATGACAGGTTTTCTTGGTTCATTCTCTTCCGCATTGGTCCACCACTTAGCAGATCGAGCTAAGTCATCGGGAGGTTGTAAATCCTTTTCGTTGAGATACCAAGGCAAAAATGATTCAAGACGATTAGGAGCTTTTGTTGTCGTTTCCTTCGGATCGTATATCTATGAATCGATATTCCATCCAATCACGTAAAATTCGATAACGAACATCATTATTATATACTAATATATTAATCACATAATAAGTACATATTCTAATCATTTATTATTATTAAAGTAATCAGCTCTTTCAAAACAGTTGTTCAAACATATTTCCTCAAATATCTTCTTTTATATATACTGACGTAAGAAATTTTATCTGTTCAAATTATTCACTCGACAAGTATTTCAATCGTTAGAACGATTGTTAATCGACGAATGTTAATGTTAAATGTATCGCTTTTAACGGATAAATAATAATAATTTTCCGATTGAATTAAATATATCCTTAACTGAATATATATTTAAATATATTCCAAAAAATGTAATGATGTGATAGATTTTCACAAAGTATAATATGTACTTCGAATTAAATAATATAGATATGACATTGTTTCACGTACCGCTAAAGTGAAGGTTCCAAAGAACATTAGACAAAGTGCAACGTAAAAACAATTAATCCAGGACGTCATTCCTAAAACATTTAAAAAGCACAACGTACTGCACACTAATGATCACGCACTCACTATAAAATCGCTTGGTATAAAATTCAGTTTAAATGAAGTGTACACAAACACTGTTTTCTTCTAAATGATAATTTAAAAACAGGAGAAAGAAAAAGAGAGAGAGAAAGAGATAGCAAATAAGTATGATAGTGAAAAGAGGAAGGAAAAATGAAAAAAGAAACGAGAATAGGGATGTGTGCATAACTTCTTAGAGAGTAGGGTTATCTATTTAGAGGGCAGATCAAGGGTCGCTCAATCGTCATCGCTACAGGAAGGCAAAGCAAAGATCGTACTGGAAAGAAAATAAAAGATAAGAAAGAGAGAGAAAGAGAAAGACGGAGAATTCTTTACTGACTACACGCAGTGCCAACGTGTATACACTTTAATCTAACAAATGCACACAGAACTATTTGCCAATTGATTCTACACGGGAGTAAATTGGCTCTCATTTTACCAGTCATCGAGCTCATAAAGTTTCGACGTAAGCTCCATGTAAACGTTAGGGTAAAAGTAATAACACCGTACTTTTAATATGGGTAATTGTAAGAGCTTTATTTTATTTTCTTGTGAATTTGTTTTAAATCCAATAATAGGAGGAAAACAGCAAAAAAAAAAAGGAAAATCTTGCTTTTCTGAAAACTAAGTTATAATTATTTTGCCGCAATAACACTTGGACTCCAGTGACGTATGTAAATACTTAGTAACTGATCACGTAATGCAGTTGTGCGTGTATTGTATTTTTCAATTTATCGAGATAGAAGAGAAGATTAAAAAGAATACTTTTTACAACATCGTATCCTCTGATTTTTACTGGCATTTCCAACGATGTTTACTCCATACATACAAATAGTTATTAATGCTGATAATAATATTCATATCGCGTTGAAGATAAATTCGTTTACAGTGGTAATTACAGCATTTAGAACATTAATATACGAATAACGTATTAATTTTAATATTAATCATAAGGATATTGTGTCAGTAATAATATACGAGAAATCCTTATATTCTATCCATATTATTTTCTCATTTATTTTATTTTTCCAATAATTAATATACTTCTATCGAATAACATATTTACATGTGCAACATGTGTTTTATTTCCATCAAAAATTGATCATCCTCGGTTACCACAACCATCACGATTTTGCAAAGGATAATCGCACGTTCCAATCGCAGGATTGAATTCGGTGCCAGCACCGCAACTCAATACGAAACAACCACTGGCATCACATTGTTGATATTTAGTGCAATCACCAGGATATGGTATAACTTGAGCCTAAAAATATAATTTGTTTTTTATTTCTAATTCAAATTTAAAATTTAAAGATCATTAGATTAATTATGTTTCCAAAAATATAAATCGTCTTGTACATTATTTGAGTTTTTCGTAAAATGTATAAAAACAAAAAGCAAATTAAGAAAAATTACTTACCGCAGAATACTCAAATAAAAATAAACTTATACAAAGGAGTACTAACGATAGAACAACGTTAAACTTCATCTTGATTCGTCCTTTGATTCACAATCGTAATTGCCTTCTCTGATCAAGGAATGGTCTTTATATAGAGACACGGAAAATAAGGAAAACAATTTATCATTATTAGAATTCGCTATCACGGAAATTATTTTTTCCCAGCACTATCGATCCTGTTTTTCAATCAATTGCGATTAACTCATATTACTAATAAGCTTTTATCGACCTTATAACATCGCACTTAAGGTCAAGATGCGATAAATTTTTAAATAAATTATTCTTCTTAGATTGAAGCTAACACAAAGTAGAAGGATCATACGAATAATAAAATAATAAAATATGAATAGATATTATTTTATGTCTTTTTATTCAATATTCACGTCGATTAACTGTAAATTTGTTAATACTATTTTCATAACTTTTAAATATCTATTTTATTGTACGTATTATGTTAAACATAAGTATGTTTAACCAATCATTTTAATTTTTTCATTGACAGTGCTTCCAAATTTGTTTTACCTTTTATCTTCTTATACAAAAAACTATATGGATGAGATAATTCTGATTCAGTTTCAGGAATCCTTGTCAATCTGCGAAATTTTGGGGATAACAATAAAACTTTTTGACCCAGAGTACAAGCACTATTCGTTATCCAATATAAGCACAGAGACTGAAATAAATGAAAGTAAATATGTATTATTTTGATAAATTACCAATGAATTACTAAATACGATTTTAATTAAATTATTTTTTTATAACTCACAGAAGGTATAAATGGTGATAAAGGTATTATCACAACTGATACTAATCTAAGAAAATTAGTAAGACATTTGTATAGTATTGTAGGTTCCTTCAATCTCAACATACGAAAGGTCTATAAACAACAATTGTAATAAACTTTAGTTAACAATTTCAATGAATATATTATTAAAGAAAATGTGATCAATATATATTATATTAAAATCTTACCTCTACGTTAGCTAAATTTATTAGTGCAGTTAATATAGGTAAAATGAAATAACTATCTGCTACTGCTAAATTTGTTATCCAACCGAAACCACCCGTTGTAAATTCAAGATAATTCTCATAAGCATCTGTTTAAATTAATTTAACATTTGGATAAGAATTTAATAAAAATAGTTTTAAATGTTAATTATATCAAATAATGTTCTCTCTTACACATATCGCCTTTGGGTAACATATAACATAAATTTCGTAGTGAAAATGTTAATATTATTAATATTGGAATTTCAATATATGCGAGAATTATGGTTTTCACCGGATGACAATTGTCTCTGACAATTAAATCCTTCCATTTTTTTCTTACCTATGATCGAAAGATTTATATCATTTTATTAAATATAAAGAATTCTTTCAAACATTTATATAATAATAAAACATTAAATGTAATAATAATTACATACCGAAAGAATATACATACGTCTTGCATGTTCCTGTGACCAATTATTTCGAAACATATCATCTTTAATTTTTCGTTCCAAATTTGTAGTAATGCCAGTCATTTCATGGCGTAAATTTTCTAGCTTAGCAGTAACATTTTGCTAAAAATAATCAGCATAATTTTACTAATATTACATAGCGGTACTTTAACAATAAACTCACCATAAACAAACAAAATAATTAGTTTATATTGAAAATTTTAATAAAGGTAAGTTTGGTAAGTTCAGTGTTAATGTAACTTCATATAATTTCAATTAATAAAGTATCATTAATGAGTTTTAAACTTAGTTCAAACATTTTCATAAAATAAAAGAAAAACAAATAGAACTACTACTTTTATTAATTTAATTTATATAAAATATCTTATTTGATTTATATAAGATATCTTATTTGAAATTATAGTATATGTAATCACAAAATGTACATAATATTAAATACCTGATATATTGCTATTGGTAAGCTAATAGTTAATCGTAATAATATAGTTGTCAATACTATAGTCGCCCACCACGGTAAGCCTGTATAAGAATGTATATCTATTAAAGAATTTTGTGCAAATTCCACAGGTGCACTTTCAGATATACCAGTTATTAGATTAACATAATTCTTGTACAAACTATCACATGTTCGTTCATAAAAACTTGACATTTGTCTTACATTATAACAATTTCGTGTGGTAAAATCATTTTTGATAAAAAGCAAATTTGTTCCAAAGTGTGATTGTTTATTTATGACTTTGTTGCACAAAGATTTATGTGTGGAAATAAATTTACATTGTTTTTCATATATACTATTTTTATTTATTTTATTAATTATTAATATTTGTTTCGACAAATCAGAGCGTAGATTTGGTATAGCATTGTCAACAATACCAGTAGAATGAATCAATTGTCTCTTGAATTGGTTAATATTAACCAGTGAATTTTTAAAAGAGGAACATGAACCCTTGGAAAAAGTTTTAATATCGATTTTATGTAATAAATAAATATTGTTATGTGAATTCGTGATGTGCATTACACAAGGGCGAAAACTTATCATTATTCTAATAATATTAATAACTTTTAAAATCACACTTTTACACTACCACGATGTTTTTTGAGGTTAGAAAACATAATACTATATAAGTTTTATTTAATAACAAATAATTAACTGAACAATTAATATATATTATTATTATTTATTAAATAAGAATATATCAACTGATAATTATGACAATAGAATAAGTGAAATAAAAATTGATAATTTATTTTATATTAAAATTGTTTATATTATAAAGTATGAATCACACATAAAATCAATTTTTATTTAATTTTTTTACTTATTGTTAGTCTACTTACATAATTACCGACACATTACAAGCGTTTTATTTTCTATTATTATATTAAATTTGATAACACTTTTTTGAAATATTTGGAATAGTTTATAGCCACGGTCTCCAACCAACATATGTACGACCCAAAATATTTAAATCTGTTGCTTGATCTAATAAACATTCGACCTGTGAAAATATATTCATAATTATTTATAATATAGGCATAACAATTAATAATAATGAAAAATAAATTTTACTTGTTCCTCTGCTGTTAATTTCTCATTTTTGATACTTAAACGAGTACGTTTAATGCCATCATCGCCATTAACTATCATATAATATCTTTCAAAATATTGATCAATGTATAAATCCTTCAATTGTTCCAAAGTTATTGCTGATGGTTTATTACCGTTCAACTTTTTTTCTATAATATTAATTTTTTTTTGCGGTAACCATTTCACATCTAAAATGTTACCAAAAATTAAATTAATTTACAAGTAAGTGGTACAGAATGAATTAGGATTAAGTTTGATGATTAAGATTAATTTTAAGATTAAGATTGTTGTACATTTTTCTACACTTACCTGCATTCACTTCTTCAATTCTTTCCAAAGCTTTGTTAACATTTTCTGTCCAATTCAAAGGTTCATGTATAAAAACATCTAAGCATGCAAGAATAGTACTCTTATCGCATCGCAAAGCCTTTAAAACATGCGTCATTGTTGCTCCAAAGAGATCTTTTTCAGTAAATGGTTTTAAAAGTCCAAGGATTTGAGTTGTTAAGCGAAATGGCATAAGTTGAGGTATCATTGAATCAATGCCAGCATCGAAAGCCTGATCAAAATCGACGCCTAAACATTTCCCTGATCCAATAGAAATTAATATGTTTGATAGATGACGATCTCCAATCCCCAAAATCCAATGTACTGCACACATTGTAGCATAACTAGTAATAAAATTTCGTCGAAATGTTATAAAACTTTCTGGCGATGGGCACAATGTTATGCATGCTTTACGTAACAAATCCCATTCCGTTTTAGCAATTAGTTCATTCATTTTTATAGTAACTGCATTAGCGTTGTAGTTTAAAGTTGCTTCTTTATATTGTATTGCTAAATTTCTTGAAGATCCAGCAGCTTTTTGAATCCATGCATTGTATTCTTTTTCAATGCTATCATAATGAGAATATTTATTTTTAGGAAGAGTAAAATAAATTAAATCTTGCAATGATTTGGTATCTTTGATCCATTCTATGAGACCTAATGATTTTGACAGTGGAATTACCTACAATTAAAGTAAATACAATGCTTTTATATTTTTGTTAATTTAAGATATACTAAGTATTTACGAAATTACATTGTAAATCTACATACTTGGTACGTATCAATAAATAAATGACGTCGTTTGCAAGCTATATCCGTATTCAAAGTTTTATTTATGATTAAAAAAGTTTGTTGCAGTCTTTGATCGAGTCGTAAATCTTCTCCAAATTTGTTTAAAAACATATAATCCTTCGCATCATCACCTATTATTGTGATACGGATTGGTTTACGTAATGATTCCATAACTCTTACAGTTGGTTCTAGTTTCATAATTTTAACGTGATATTGAGGCATGGGTTTTCTATAGCCTGTATATTGTCCTGGTACTTCTAATTGGCTTTCACTAAACTCGCATAACCATGGACTATAATTTTTCAGTAATCCATTGGTTTTCGTTTTCTGAAGCGATTGTTTTAGATTTTGATCTAATTGTTTCAAATATTGACGAATTTCCTTCTCATCTTGCATTTTTTCAAGTTTTTTTAAATTAAACTTACTAATCATATTATATATATTTCCTGGTCTTGGTTCATTTCTGTTTTTTCCCAAAGATGGAATCTTTTTCATTAAAATATCAATTGCAGTAGCTGGACCTTTTGACAAATTTTTAACACATTCATGGAGATAATAACATAAATACGATTCTGGCTGAACAACATATTGCATTGCTTTAAGAAACTGTTCTAACTCTTGATTATCGTACAGAAATTTTCTGATTTTGTACATTCGTGAATCATTCAATACACTTGGATTTGTTTCTATTATTAAACGAAGAATATATATCAAAGCATTTGGATAATCTTTAATAATTCTTTCAATAATCGGTATAATTAAATCCGCTATCGATGTTCCAAGATGAGAAAATAATTGTGCTTGCCATCTAAGAAATAACCAAGACTGAATTTCGTTAGTGTTGTTTATAAAAATCTCTTTAACTTCATCGTCATTCAAATACTGATGTTTTAATAAACAAGGAAAATAATGTGCAGCATCT